GTGCGCTGTTGTGAAGAAGACTTGGCCCCTTTCGTTGGCCCATAGCTACTGCAGGTGTATCAGTTACCGGCGCATATCATCAATTTCTTGAGCATACTTCTCAGGTAAAGTGATTTTGTCGGGATTCAGAAAGCTGTGACGGATCAGAGCGGCAACAGACTATCACAGGGTGACCATGCCCTTGTTGGTGCAATCTTGGTTGTGTGAAGTGCTCTGAGGCTTTTTTTGGTCCAACCACTGAACTGATCGTTGCCGGTTCTCACATGATATCTAATTTTCGTCACATGCCATAATCTAATCAAGAAATAGCGTGTGCTTGCTGCGTGAAGCAAGACAAGGCCACATTTTAGAATGACTTTTTCGATTTTTAGTGAGTTTGTGAGACACCCAATCAGTATGCAATTTCACCTTTCCGGTGTGCCTTAAATGGCCAACAATCGTAGTAGAATGGCAGACGTTGAGTTCTTCTGTAAATCTCATGTAGTTTTCAAAGTAACAGCTTCCATGGTTGCTTTCAATTGGGCGTTATCAACTTTCTACGGCTACTGTGTTCTTCATCTTCAAGGCTCTCATCTTTTTTACGGGTCTTCTCAAACAGCCACTGCACTTTATGATCGCTACCAGTGCCCAGGCCGAATGCGCTGTTGATATTTCAAGTTGTTTCTGCAGATACGACCCATTTTGAACTTGAAATAGAAAATCGCTCAAAATTGCTTCTTGCCTAGCATTCTTTTCACAGCCTAAAATAAATAGAAAATATAAAGCAAATACTACGTCAGAAACATAAACAGAAAACATGAGGTGAGAGATACGAATTAAATGATCCATAGCATAATCTTATTTGATTGACAATGTATTCTGAAATCAAACGGCGAATTTCAACAATGCATGAACAGCAATTACTTTTGTACCAGCCTAGAAAAGCTCCGACTAGTCAGCTTCTTGAATCAAGCTGTGCTGCACAGAAGATTATTCAATAAGACGTTTATATTCGAGTGTTTTTCAAGACCTCGTTCAAAATTTGTCCATCCTGACAACATATTACAAGCCTTTCATGGAACTTGTTATGACACCTTTATATCAGAGGGTCCCTCCGAAAAGGATTGGCTCCGACGAGAGGCACTGTGCAACTAAAGGGACCGCAAGGCCGAAACACTTGTATTGTATAAGTGCCATAACAGACCTTATGAAAGGCTTGGACGATGCTGTCAGGAGGCGATGGGAGACAATGAGCTACGTTAAGAGAATAGTGGCTTTTGGCATTCGACTCTGATAGATACTGCTCTTGGAAAGGCGAAGGCTCCGGAACGCTGAAACATCAGCCGAATGAAAGTGTTAAAACAACCTTGTGGTAGTCTGATTGTCCGAATAAGTGCTGATTAGTAATTCGGAGGCTAAAGATTAGTCAGGTACAGCAGTATTTTTTCTGTGTATTACCTGTTTCTCATTATGGATTGAGCAGAGAAGAGAGAAAGAAGTAATCAACGGAAAATCAGTAAATCAATAACCGTTTGCATAGATGGAATTGCTGGCAAAGTTTCTTCAAATGAATGGTGTTCTTTTACAGAAGATATGACTTGATGGGATGGCACATTTTGAGACGACTTTGTAAAGTACTAATTGAGCTTAATCTTACTCTAGAGAAGGCATAGGCAATCAAGGTTTATTGAATGAAGTTTGGGGGCGCCGCAGCAGAATGGTTATGATGCTCGTCACAGCACGCTTTAACCAAACTCCATCCCTCACCTCTCTTCGGCAGTGAACAACAGCAACGTTCCATGGAACGCCTCTAAGGCTATCTTGCAGATTGCGAGGAGATTCGCTCAACCAGTACTTACGCCGTTCAAGAAGAAGACGAAAAAAGGGTTTGATTGGTAAAAGTACTGCGATTCGCACAGTAAAAAAAACACTGAGATGACGGATCAAATAAAGTATGAAAGAGAGTAAAGTGAGGGACTGTGATATCCATCAACCCAGTGTTAGCCAGCCACTACAACATATGACTGTGGGATGGGGCAAACATTATAGGAATGGCTCTACTGTAAGAATTTTCAACGACAATCAGCCGTTAAGAACTGCAGAATGGATTTGTCCAAGAGGGAATCCTTGTGCTGGCTCCACTTCCACTACAAATTTGGTGTCAACGCTTCTGAGACTCATCGACAAATCTGCAAGGAGTATGGTGACAAAATTTGTGACTTTCGCACAGCTCAGCATTGGTTTGAGACATTCCGTAAAAAAGGTAAGCGTTTGACCAACAGGCCAAGAGAAAGAAGTCCAGGAGAAGTCGATCGTCAAGCAGTCGCTTATCGAACTGTAGAAGGTCAATCGATGAGTTGACAAATGGTAATCGACGAGTTTGATTTTTATACAATGGCGATTTGGCGTATTCTCCAAGATAGGTGGTTGAACTGCCTTGACTTGTAAAGAGACTATTTCGACTATTGATTTGTCATTTGTTTGAACTCAACTGGTGTACAGTTGATTTTTCATATTCACTTTGAAAATACAACCGAGCTTTTTTTACAACCTATTACCACGCGGATTCGAGTTTTTCTGAGGACATAGCCTTTTTGCTCAGCTTAAGTCGTCGAGCAATTATTGCATTAGCTGGTGAAAAAGATGGTCATGGTACGAATCATCCTTTTCAAAACTTGTTTGAATTTGTTCAAAACTGTGGGGGGGGGGGGGGTGGGGGGGGGGGAAAGCGACAGGTCTCCGTAAACTGACCGCACAGTGTTAGGTCAACTTCGAGATGGTCGTGTCTTACTCTTATTTTTGCTTAGGATGAACCACTATTTCAAGACGGCTGAGAGAAAGTCAGAACATAGGAATATATAGACCGTTGTTTGATGTAGCGGCACAGCTAGACGTGCTCACTACCATCTCAGCAGGCTCTGATACGCCTTCCTGCTCCATGTGCACGCAAAAGAGTACTTATCCGACATCTGCCATCTTTTTGAGAGTGTTTCTTAGTGAGGCGCACAAAGTGGCTTACCGCTTCATCTATCTATTGATCTCCACACGCCTTGGAAAATAGTAGATTCACGGTATATGAATTCATACAGTGTCCATCTTTACCATTAAGACAGATCACGTAATACTCTGCCATATATAAACGGTCACACAAGCGGTTTCAAGCAAATGCCGAAGCAATGCGTCAGGAGTTTCTCACGCCACTGTTTTGCTGACACGTTTTGATAGCGGTACCTTTTTTGTTTGTAAAGGATGCTTTCAAAAGCGTCTTCTCATTTGGGTCTGACATGCCACTGTTCTGTTTATGAAACCCGCCTACTTTTTTTGACGAGACCTTGCGGCCGTTTTTTCGTAGCCATCTAAGATAAGGTTTCTTTTTCAGAAAAGATAAGATTTTTGTGTCAAGTATATTGGCTTCTTTCTCGCGCGTTCTCCTGTATGAGCGCATGCAGCTGCTCAGTATAAGATTCGGTCAACGGCTTTTTTGAGTTTGAAAGATGAGAAGTTTTTATCACATGGTTCTCGACCTCATGGTAATATTGCGACTTATGGAGAGATTCACTCAATAATTCATGAAGTGGAGCTAGTTGTTTAAAATTTTTCGCGTGTTAACTCAATATATCCCGACTGTTCATCCAGCATTCAAAACATGTGTCCATCTCCGCTTGTGTTCATCAGAATATATAAATATATATATATATATATATATATATATATATATACAGTAATGTGTACGACGGCGATTGAAAAGTGACCTCAAATACACGCTGATCAATTAGCGAACCAAAGCTACGCTCTCTGCATACTGATTTGATAATTTCATGAGCGATAAAAGCTCAGTTGAATAAATGTGATAGTGTTCATACTACTAAAAGTCAAGTTAAGGGTGCTTGAAACGCTTTTTGAGACATGTAGCATCAAATCTGATCTGTACACCTGTGGTGCCACCTGGTATTTGAGACTGAAAACGAATGTCGAAAACAATGCATAAAATCTTAATTAGTTAAAAGTCAAGTTCAGGGTGCTTGAACAACGCTTTTTGTGACATGTAGCATCAAATCTGATCTGTACACCAGTGGTGCCACCTGGTATTTGAGACTGAAAACAAATGTCGAAAACAATGCATAAAATCCTAATTAGTGAGTATCACGCAACTTCAATAGTCATGAGTATGCATAAAGCAGAAATTAACTGATAGAATTTATTGCAGTTGATTTCTGAACACGAGAGTAATGGTTCATTTGAAGAGTAACCATCGTGTCCGTTTGGACTTGGCAAGAAAAATGCCTATTATGACGCGAAATCCGTCGAAGTAATTATATTTGCGCTATTTCATCGTACTCACATGGCAATCATCATGACAGTTCAAAATATGAAATAAGAGTTTGAATACTTGAAGGGCCGTAATCTCCAAGTATATGAAAACAAGACAAAATTGGCTTATCGAAAAAGTGACGAAAAATGATATATGAGAGAGTCAATACTCCGCAATTCCAGTGTTTTTACTGCATTTTCGCACTGTTATGATGTTACATATATAACTGAGAGAATCGAGTGGTGAGCAAAAACACGGCCTCGGCCGGAAATCGAACCCGCGTTTCATCTATGATGAGGTCGCGTCCCACTACCACTACACCACCTCGGCACATTTGCGCCACCACTCATTCTTCACTGAGTTTTCAAGGATTTTTCAAATCGTTTCGCAGAACAAACTCGAAGAAATGCCTACCAAACACCAGTGCATTTGTAATCTGCAATCTTTGTTTCGTCGACAAGCATATTTCAACAATGTCTTCGGTATGAATGAAACGCGGGTTCGATTCCCGCCTGAGGCCATGTTCTTGCTCACCACTCAATTCTCTTAGCTATATAAGTAATACCATAACAATGCGAAAAAAGTAGTAAAATACTAGAATTACGGAGTATTAGATCGAACATATAAGTGTGGTGTAGTGGCTGTTACCTAAATTGGGTTAATAAAGCGAAATCGACAGGGACGATGAAATGAGTAGTGGCGCAAATGTGCTTCGGCGGTGTAGTGGTAGTAACACGCATCCCCGGTATGGATTAATCGCGGGTTCGATTTCCTCCTGAGGCCGTATCTTTACGCAATGAGATTGTTTTTACGATCAACTGTTTTACGTGGTATACAGCATTCGAAGCTTGATATTATTAGGTCTTCCCGAACTTGATTCAAAAATTCAAAAATTTATTTTCCAAGTAATCGAAAGTATCAAATAACATTGATTGAAGTATTCTCCGTCTGCCTGGATGCAATTTTGCCAACGTTCCGGCAACAAATCAATTAGTCTAAATACTGGAGATCATCGGCCAAATTGGTTGATTGACCAAATCAGTATCTCTAAGCGAAGCTGCGTAAACCATTCACGCGTCGTAGTTCTTGAACAACTAAGCGACCTTTTGCTTGTAACTCGTAAAGCAGTACGTTGCCAATGATTTCACGTGACGGCTCCATTGTTGGACAGGTATGTGCAAAAATATACCAAACGATGCGCAAAAAAATACTGCACAAAATGGGTGAAAGAAAAATTTGTTTTTGTGCGAAAATTTTTATTTTCTGGATCAAGTTCGCAAACTTAGTTGGAGACTGATATCTACGAAAAAAACACCATGCTTGATAAAAAGTAGTGGTGCTGTTGGAAGCGTGTCTAAGATGCAACTACAATGGTTTTCACTATCGCTATCGTTCACTTTCTTCGTCATCCAATGATTACAATAGTTGATATATCATATTATCATTAATATTTGCGAGATAAACTGTATGAAGATCATGCGTATTCAAGACGCTTTGCTTATTATATAGTCATTTTCGGGCACGGGCAGTTAACTGGCCAGAATTCACATCGCGAAAAAAAAATTTCATTTAAAATTCAATGAAGTAGGATTTACTAAACTAAAAATTGAACGGGATGCTCCGGTCGAGTAATTAGCTACACAGCATATCAGAAAGCGAAGCGTCCCTTGCTTCTCTCGACCCTTCCCAGACACTCTTTTACAATCATTCAACGAAAGGCAGGGAACGCCTTAGCTTGGCTATACTGAAAATTCCGAGGATAGTCTCTTAAGTAGCATTACGACATTCATGATGAGGAGCAATCCCCAAGCACAAGTTCAGGCGAGGCAGCACGTGAACTCAAAGACGTTGCTAGAGGATGCATGCGAGGAACGAATCAAAAGTTGGAAGTGCTGTGATCCTTACAGTACTATAAGATAACGGGTCGTCTAAAATAGAAAGAAAAATAATTGAAAACAGAAGCCATAGCCTCAGATTAATCAGTCACCATGGCTTTACTGATTGTTAATTAGTGAGCAAATACTGATTCCACGTACCTAAAAATTGGTACAGTTTTTTAAATGGCGACTAGATTGGTCACTAGGTCATGCAGTCGCGAATATGTTGGAAAAGCTCTTCTCATGAGTCATTGATCACAAAGTAAAAACAAGATTACATTCTCAAACACGTTAAATGCATGTGTCACATATTTATGCATATTCACCATGAAATTGTCTGATGCATTCCACCATACACATAGTGCACGCGGTGCTGTACATTTTCTCTCAACTTTTTCATGTATTTTTCTGGATAGTCAGTCATCGAAAACTCTCCAAACTCCTCAAGATGTGAGAGCGAAAGATTTCCCCACTTATCAGAATGTATACCTCGATAATGCCTAAATGGGTATCATAAAACTGAGCATAATTTTTTTCTATATAGTAAAATCTTTTCAAAAGGACAAGTTCTAGGTGACTGTGGAAAAGTTCTGTTACTAAGTTTCACTAGCTGAATAATGTTAAGGCATAACAAATGTGTGTGCAAAAAATGTGGAAATACGAGCATGATGTGGAACCTGTTGCTTTTTATCCGTCATCGCTCGCAATTCCACATCATGGACTCGAGCCATCACAATACCTCTTAGCACGAAGGGCGCTCGCGCGACACCAGCGACGCCCTCGTTCTCCTTATCTCTCTGCTGTGCTTCAAACTTCGGACCATCAAATAGGTTGAAATGCAGCAGAGAAAGGCGTAGGCTTAGGCGTCGCAACACAGATCTTCCATATAATCAAAACGAAATAAACTGTCCCCCTAATGCATGATTATACTTCAAAACTTCAAAGTCATTACTTTATATTAGGGATTTACCTAACAACCGCTTCATCATCCTTCAAATGATATCGCCTATAACCATCGTAGAACAAATCAATGCCGTGTATGTTAGCAATTACAGCCTAAAATGTATAGAGCAACCAAATTGGAGTCTAAGAATCGATTGTGCTCCTCCAAAGTGTTTTAACTCTATTTTTCAGTTTTTGGCACTAAAGTTGATCTATATCGAAAATCTATACTGTTATACAAGCTTTGTAAAATATTAGAGATACCTTTTTGGGGTTGACGATATACATGGTATTATGCTCGGACGGCAAAAGCTGCGATGTGTTGTGATATCTCCATGTTGGCATCAATTCGGCAACCTTGAATACTACATGTATACATGTATGTATCTTGTTTTTATTTTATTTTATTTTATTTAATCCGTCATCAGAGTTTTTCACTGTGCGGATCTCAGTACTTCTAATATTCAATTCGTTTTTCGTCTTCTTCTTTAACGATGTAGAATACTGGTTGGGCGAGTTTCCTTGCAATCTCGAAGATAGCCTTGCTGTGGCCATGGGGCCTTGTTGTTGACTGCCGGAGAGAGGTGGAGGGTGGAACTCAATTCTACGCGCACAGCGGCGAGCATCACAACCGCTCGACCACGGCGCCCCCATATATATATATATATATATATGTATGTATAAGTATACATATATATTATTGCACTCACTATCTCATAACTACAGTTGTTGACGAAACCATATTGTGCTCAACTTTATCTATTGAAACAGTCAAAATACTTGTTCAACATAATAGTAGCGATGAATAGACAAACATCTCAAAAAAAGGTCTTCTGAGCAGTCTCAGACTCTGGTTCGGCAACGCTCAAGGGTCCACCTCTGTCTAAAGATTGGAAATGCTAGCAGACTTGTCTAGGATTAAGTTATTTCTTCCGTTTCACTTAAAAACACCATAGTACGTTATGTCAGTAATCCAGTAAAAATGAACTCGCTTTGGAATCAGCGGCATTCATGAACAAAACGGAAATTCTCAGGCAGTGGTCGGAATCACAAACAACTCCAAACGTCTTAGTGAAAAGTGAACGTGAAGAAACGGTTGAAGGCCACAATTTGGTGAGATCCCTCCAGCATATTATGGATCATTTGAAAAAAAAAGGTGCAGAAGTGCTGAGCAAAGGTCGATCTACACGAATGTTTTGCTATGAATGACTATTGTCATAGTAGTTATTGGCAGCTAATATCTTGTGCTTATTTATTTTCTCATACGGCATAAACATGGCTTCTGGTACAAGCTTTTGATTATGGTTCAGTTATTACATATAAACAATCCAAATAAGCAAATGAAAACAGTTTACGAAATTTCTTCCTTTCAGGAAAATTCTGTCTGACCTGGCTTTCATTGGTATATTTTTCTGATTCTGTCTCGTTCGTGAGAACCAATTGCTGCCGAAATGTAAGCTCTGCTATTGTTGGGTCAGAAATACTCCTAAAAGTAACTGTGCATATGTAAGCACATCAAATTTTTTCCTCTGTTCACAAACTTGAGGTAATCGGCGAGGGTTCCGTGGTACTCGGTTGGAGTCAACCTTCCATCAAGATCAATCATTGCCACCCAATTAGAATGGCCACGTGCACGTATAAGGCATTCCTACAAAATCTTAACTATCGAGTTTGAATTGATTTCTATCAAGTAGTTGTTTAGATCATCCGCAGTATCCTTACATATCTGTTCAACAGTATTGTTACTAACCTGCAGTTGAGGTAATTGCCATAGCTCGCTATCTCTTTCATATGGATCGCGAAGAATTACGACCTCAGCCTCTCCAGAACGAACATAATCATCTAACAGTATCCTACTATACTCATCTATTTCATTTAAGTAGATGTAGAAATATTCCACACCCTAAATATAGCGGAAGTCATCTTATTTGACCGCCAATTGCGGTGTTATGATGTTGAAATAAACCCAATGATGTAGAGTGATGTGCGAAAACGTCTGCGTCAGCCGGGATTCCCCAAATCTTATTCTTTCCGGGAGCATGTGCTAAACCGTTGCATCACCGACGCTCGTTTTGCACTCCACTCTTTTCACACTAAAGAGAGAAAGAAAGACTCCACTCTTTTCACGGAAAGAGTGAGATCTGGGTTCGAATCCCGGCCGACGCAAACGTTTTTGCACATCACTCTACGTCATTGGGTTTATATCCTAAATATAGCTTCCAAACTTCAAATATAGATTAAAATGTGAGGGACGAGTTCAAGTGTATTGAAGTGAAAATAATTTTTGCGCATGGAGCAATGCTTCTGTCTAAGAAAATGGAGGCACCAGATACTTTTTTCATGATTGTCGACAATCTAGACAAATTGAAGTATTGTTTTGCAGTGCCTGACAGTTCTCTGTGTAGAACATTCTTTGGCTGACAACTGTAAAGAATAAGCGGAGGTTGTCTTCATACATTTGAACATTTAGGCTGGGAAAAATTCTTAAAATTCTGATCTCAAGTAAAATGCAGTGCGACTCTGCTCAGCGCCATATCAAGGTTCACAAGGCATAAAGCAAACCTACTTGAATCTTATGGTGTTCCAAAAACTCGGATAGTATCAACCATTTCAGCTCCGCACCATACAGAGGAGCAAGGCAAGCAGAGAAATAGTATGTCGCAGCTGAAAGATCCATAGTTATGGGATCGAGGGGGTTGGGTGTAATGATGTGAATTTTTTTAAAAACTGCTTCATAATGCGCAAAACTTTCTGGGCTTACGCAAAAAAGATTAAGTCCAGTTTTTTTTTTGCAAGATCAGAACTTAGAAGCAAAGACGTAACCACTTTGTGTACGATCTGTGATTGGTACAGGAAAGTCGTAAGTGTCCGTAGGCGCATCTGAGAGCGAGATGTACCTCGCTCCTACACGACGAAGACAAAGTGCAGTGAACTCGGGAAATACAACTGTCTTGTACTGCGGAC